TCAATTTTATCAACTATTTTTTAAAAATTTACTTCTTTAACTGTGCATAAGATTCTTGCTGATTGTCCCTCAGGTTCCTTCTCTGCCTTATCTGCTCCCCCAGGATGGCAAACCTAACTCCAGCGAGCTGCTGCTGGATCCAGAATTCAGGAATTGTGCTTGTTTTTGTAACTGCATGAGAGCCAGATCTGGATGGACATTGAGCAGCTGGCAGTGGGAGGTGTGAGCTAGACGAAATTCTTGCTATAAGTTTGATTTCCTTAAACTACTTTGAACCACACACTTTAATGTGGAAGGGAAGAGCAGCAGAGGTGGTGGGGAGTGTGTGTAGGTCTGCTCTGCGTGTGCTCACTGCGGGGCTGCTGTCCTGCCTGCAGAGCAGTGCTGTGCTGGCTCAGAGCCACGTGCAGCTCTGAGCCTGCTGCTTCCCCTGCAACAGAAAGAGGGAAAAGCAAAAGTGTTGCTGCCTTCCTGCCAAACAGTAAAAAGTTGCATGTTTAAAAGCAAGATTTCACTTTGAAAGCATCAAAGCGGAACACTGACTTATCTGAAAACCCTTGTTATCTTATCCTGATAATAATGTTCTTTTTGGACAGAGTTGGAAGACGTTTTATTGGCTACTTTGATACCTTCATGAACACAGTGTGTTTCTGGAGCTGCTGCTTTGCCTTGTGTTCTGCATGTGCTATATTTCTGCTTCAGGGAATTGCTTTTTTAAATTCAGGGTATGAACGAATTGTCAAATAAGACATTTGTTTCCATTTATACGACTTGCAATTTGGTAATAAGCAACAGATGAAAAAGCAGTACCCAAATTCTCTTGTATAAAATTTCTTGTGAGTGCCATCCCTTCATTTCACAGAAACAGGCCAGTTTTCAGTCCTATGAGTAGCACTAAAAAGTACAGATACCAATAAAGAAGAAAGCAAACAGAAATAACTGGAGCTCAGTGAAGTGGTATGAAATCTAGCACGGGCTTCTGACTATCAGCCCAAAAGCTGTTCCTGGCCTCAGGGGGTGTTCTCAGCCCGTGCTGCTCTGACTGTGCCGAGCAGTCAGTGGGTGTCCACCCGAGGCATCAAAGGGCTCAGTAAGTCATTTTTGATTTTTACTACAAGGTTGTAGTAAAAATCTAATTGTCTGAAGGCAAATGAGGCAGCATTGGGTGGCTCCAGCGCTGTGCTGTGTACCTCTCCCGTCCTGGAGCCCCCAGGTTCCTGTGCTGCGCTGCGGGACAGCCGGGGCCGGCGCCGCTGCTCCTCGGGGTGTTGCGGTCCCGGGTGGGAGGGAGGCGGTCCGCAGGGCTGCAGTGCCTCCCGGCGGCTGCTGCCTCCCTCCTCCGACACCTCCTCCCGACGGGAGCCCATCAGCCCTGCGCTGGGAGCTGCGGCGCTGACACCGGCCGCGTTTCTGCCTCCCCTCCACCCCGGCCGTGCGGGCACCCCTGTGCGGGCACCGGCAGTGCGGGCATCCTTGTGCGGGCACCAGCAGTGCGGGCATCCCTGTGCGGGCACCCCTGTGCGGGCGCTGGCAGCGTGGGCACCCCTGTGTGGGCGTTGGCACACCTGTGCGGGCCGTGGCAGTTTGGGCACCCCTGTGTTGGCACACCTGTGCGGGCACCGGCAGTGTTGGCATCCCTGTGCGGGCACACCTGTGCGGGCACCGGCAGTGCGGGCACCCCTGTGCAGGCGCTGGCCGCATGGGACCCCTGTGCGGGCACGGGCAGTGCGGGCACCCCTGTGCAGGCGCTGGCAGTGTTGGCACCCCTGTGCGGGCGCTGGCACGCCTGTGCCCCTCGTGCTGAAGCTCCAGCCGCTGTCCCGGGGCTGTGCTGTCTTTCCCCAGCTCTTGCAGCCCCCCTGTCCCGTCCCTCCCCCCAGCCCTGCGGGGGCACTGCCCACCGGGGCTGGCTGTCCCCAGCCCGGCAGTGTGTCCCCAGCAGGAGTGGGGCTGTGCCTGCCCACGGGGGTGCCAGGGGCCCTGCCAGCCCTCGGTGCCGTTCTGGCAGCTCCACACCGCAGAGGAGACGCGACCCTTGTCAGGGTGGATGTACAAAGTCACACGGGTCACACGGTGTCTGAGGCAGCCCGGGGTGCCACCGCTGCCAGGAGCAGCCCCGGGCTCAGCCAGGGCCGCAGCAGGGACGTGCCCAGCACACGAGGCAGTGCAGGACACCTCAGGGCAGGCTCGGGTTGCACACTGGGAAATGATGTCCACAGGCTGCACGGGGCTGCGGGGGAGTCCCCAGCCCTGGAGAAGCCGTGTGGATGTGGCACTTGGGGACAAGGGCTGCTGCTGGCCTGGGCAGTGCTGAGGGCATGGTCGGGCCATGGTCTTGGAGGGGTTTCCAGCCTGAATGGTTCTGTGGCTGACAGACAAAGCACGGGCTGGCAGTGCTGCGAGAGCGCAGCCAGTGGAGATGCGGGGGGTGAAGAGGGACTGCTGTCACAAACTGAGGTGAGGCTGTAAGCCTGGATTGCTGTTACAAACAAGGTGTAAGGTTATAAATTCACCTATTTCTCCTTTCCAAACCACAGTTTGAAAACTCAGTCTGATGTTGCAACACCTATTTTTCACTGGGCCGACTTATTGAGGGGGCAGGTCAGTGCCTGACTGAGCCCGTGCCACTCTCTGAGCAATATCCAGGCAATTCCAGCTCTGATTCTCCCTGTCGTGGAGCACAGGCATGCAGGGAATGCTGGCTCTGAGCAGGGTGACATGCTGGCTGCTGCTCTTCCCATTGCAGCTTTAACCCTGGCTGCTTAACTTTGCATTCATTTTTTTTCTGAAACGTCAGTAGCCTGGACTACATGGAAATGCAGCGGGTGGGAAGCAGGGCGTGCTGCATGGCTCTTGCTACCCTGTGTGCAGGAAAAGCAGCAACATGACATTTTATACTTATATAACTACAGAATGGTTTGGGTTGGGGGGGTGGCTTAAAATCATCTCGTTCCACCCACATGCCATGGGCAGGGACACCCTCCACTAGACCAGCGGCTCCAAACTCCATCCAACCTCAATGAATGAAATAAATAAGGAGGAAAAAGACTAAACCTAATGTTTGTTTGCTTTAGAAAGCTGTGAGTGGTGGGGAGCACGTGATGCACAGCAGAGCAGCAGTGGTGGGTGCTGGTGTGGGCTCTGGGGAGCATTGGCAGTGCAGAGCCTGGTGTTGGGGTGAGGCATGAAGGGTAATCACTGTGTGGGATGGAGCTGGGTTTTTACATCCACGTGTTTCATTTGGCACCTCATCCCCTGTCTGAGAGAGACCTTGCGCTGTCCCAGCTGGTCCCTTTGACTGAAAGGGCTCTAACAAAATTGGCAGATGGGCATTTCCATATTGCAGCTGATGCTGTGCTGCTCTTTGGGTAAATCAGTTTATGACTTCCTTTATCTGGGGGGGCTGTGGGTTCAGGGAGGTTGCTGGGGTGGTTCACTGGAGGGCAGGGGAGTGGCTCTGGCATGAAATGGGACGTTGGTCTTTCAAGGTTAAGCACTGTGAGCTCCTGCCCTAAGCCAAGGGTGGCCTCAGGGCAGGAGCAGAGCCCAGGCCGTCTCTGCACAGCCCCGCTTCTATCTGGAGACCGGCACAGAAGGAGAGTGGGAAATCTTCCTTAAGTGCAACAAATTAAAACACTCATTTTGTGGTGGTTCCAATCTGGCCTCATCTTCCTCTGTGCTGTTTGCCCGTGCCAGAGCTGTCCTGGGAGCTCCCATTGCTCCTGGGGAGGGACAGAGCAGGAAAGGGCTTTGTTCTGCATTCCCCATCTCTCAGCTGTGCCTTATCTTCCCATGTCACCTGAAATCTGGCTTCTTTACCTATGTCTTACCTCTCAGCCCCTGACAAAAGACCTGAGCTGTGCAAAAGAGGAGAGGGGTTTGCTGCTCTGTGCCCAGCCCTGCATGTACGTGTGTCACTGATGGGACAGTGCCACCCTCACCTGTGCCACAGTGGGCTCACCTGTCCCCTGCCCAGCAGCTGGCACTCCAGGCAGGCGGAGTGGCCATGGAGCTGTGTTCTCTCTTGGTTTTGTTGGAGTGGGGTCAAGAATATTTGGCTTCCAGTGGCTGCTGTGCTGCAGAGGGACTGAGGAGAGAGAGCGCGGATGGATTTTTGAAATACTTGAATACTTTGGAGGTGCTCAGAACTTAAATGTCTGAAAGTTTGACTAAGGGCCAGTCTTCATCTGTGTTTGTGCAGGTGGCACATGGTTCAGCTTTCAGCCCTCTGTGACGTTTCCTGCTCTGCTCCTCCGAAGGGTGCTCCGCCCCATGGGCTGCTCAGAGCGCGGGGCTGCGCTGATTTCTGTCGGTAGAACTTTAGCCAAAGAAATCACCTCAGCTTTAAACTGAAAAGATAAACCCGCTGTGTCCCAGGCTCTGCTCGAGTTTCTGCCTTCCAGAGCGGCAGCTCAGTGCCCCGGCATCCCCGACACGGCTGTCTGCCCCTGGCTGCCCCGAGCGGCACCCGCCGCCTCCCGCTGCCCTTCCCGCTGCAGGGCCGGGCAGGGCCGGGCAGGGCCGGGCAGGGCCGGGCAGGGGACTCGGTGCGGGATTCAGTGCGGAGTTCAGTGCGGGCCGGGCAGGGGGCTCGGTGCGGGATTCAGTGCGGGATTCAGTGCAGGATTCAGTGCGGGATTCAGTGCGGGCCGGGCAGGGGGCTCGGTGCGGGATTCAGTGCGGGATTCAGTGCGGGGTTCAGTGCGGGCCGGGCAGGGGGCTCAGTGAGGGGCTCGGTGCGGGCCGGGCAGCGGGGCTCGGTGCGGGTTTGTTGCGGGGCTGGCCGGCTCGGCTGCTCCTGGCGGCTGCACGGGGAAACTGCTGGGTAAGCGAGTTGTTTTGGAAGCTGCACGGCGGAGTAACCTCTGCCCCGGGTGATACCACAAGAAATCACCTCCTGGCCGCGACCCAAGCAAAACACGGGATTAACTTTGCCCTGCGCTGGCTTGCTGGGGGGCGGTGAGAGCTGCTCCAGCAGCGCCAGAGCGGAGCCGGCAAGGATGGGAGCCAGGCTGCTCTGGCTGTGCCTCCTCACAGCCCTCCTGGGCTACTACATCTACAGCCCGCTGCCCGAGGAGCTGGCCCAGCCCGGCACAGTGATGCTCGTCTCGGCTGCCTTGAGGGCCCTGGGGCACCTGGTGAGGCGCTGGGAGGGCAGGGCAGGGGGGTTCTCGGGGCTCAGGGACACGGCAGGGCGTGTGTGTGTGTCCCCGGGTACGGTGTTACACGGACCGAGGGGCAGGAGCTGTGGAAGTGAAGCACTGCACTGACTGTGACTGTGATATACAGAGATGTAGGAAAGACTCGATCTTGCAGCCTTGAGGAAGGGCCTTTCAGAGTAAGCAATGAGATGTGGGATGTGACTGTGGGTCGACAAGGACAGACTGGCTTCCCGTGCTTTGCAGTGCTGTGCCCTGCTGCTTGAATCATTCCTGGCTCCCTGTGCCCAGCTCCCCTGGCAGCGCTGGCTGTCCCGGAGGGAAGGCTCGAGTGGGTCTCACATTCTATTGATTTTTGTGGTTTCCTGGAAATCCACTGACAAAATAGGCCTGAAAACAAAACAACATCTATGTGTGAGATAGCCCTTGCTGGCAGGGGGTACCTCTTTAGGGCTGCAGGAGGAGGGAGGATGAGGAGTTTTTTGGTGTGTGTCAGGGACCCTTGTTTTGATTTTGGGGGTTGAGGTGGTGGAAGATGAGAGTGGCGAAAAAGAAAGAAACGGTGGTCAGCAGTGTTGGTGTGCTGCCCTGCTGCTTCCCCTCCTAAATCCCCTGCTGGCAGGAGCCTGCAAGGAGGGCGGGCACGGGCAGCTCACTGCCCAGGCACGCCGGTCACTCTGTCCCCTCAGCAGCGCCCTGCTGGCCCGGGAGGGTGGTGTGATTTCCCTGGAAGGTGGGGCTGTGTCCGTGGTGCTGCTGTCCTGCCTGCCTGGGCACAGCGGGGCCGTGGGCAGGCGTGTTGTAGCTGGGCTCCCATCTCCTGGAAACCATCATCCCGAGGGATGGGCACAGACACAGCCTCCCTGGAGCTGCACTCGTGCAAATTAGGGTGAGGTGGCTCTAAGTTGTCCTGAGTACACCCTGAATGGCCGTGCAGTTACAGGCAGTGACTCGAGCTCACTTGGGGCAGGGCTGTGTTTCAGGGGGAGCCCTGGTGCAGTCTGGCTCCCTGATGTTGGTGTGAACAAAGTGCCTCGAGCATTCCTGGGCAGCAGAATCCTCTCCAGGCTCCCAAAAGGGTGTGCCAAGAGCACCAGGGCAGGGCACATCTCCATCCCCTCTGTTGTGGTGGGTCCTGGGGAGCCCCCAGCTCGGCAGCCCTGCTGGGTGTGCTCAGAGGCCCTGGTGCCCCCCCTGTGCAGCAGGGAGGCTGGGGAACAGCCTCTGAGAGCAAACCTGCCCCTTGCTGTGGTGTTTGAGCCCAAAATCCCTCAGGGATTTCAGGAAGTACCCTGTGCCCTTGGTCTGAAACGCCTTAAGAAGGTACAAAACACAACAGGATGTTTTTGCTGCCGTTGTGTGACATCCCCCAAACTCGCTCCCTCCTCAGCCCAGCCCTGGAAGCACTGAGACCCAGATTTGGGCCCTGCTCAGGAGCTGCCCTGTCGGGCTGATGGGGAGCATCCCCCGAGGGTGCCTCATCCCAGCTGCTGCCCCTCTGGAAACCCGACCTGCTGGAAGCCTGTGGGCACTGCCCCTGCCCCTGCCCGGGCACAGCCAGGCTCCCTTCCCCCTCCCCAGGTTTTGGAGGGTCTGTCCTTGCTGTAGGGACTGGGGAAAATGCTTTCCAAAGCACAGGGATCCCAGCCCCCAAAATACAGCCTGGCTGTCCTGTTACTGCATAACGCCCAATAATCTCACACTGGGACAATGAGGGATTTTCAGATGAGGGCACCATTTCCTTTTATTGATGATGGCTGGAAACCGCAGGCAGCAGCCCAGTGGTTTTCCACAATGTAAATTGTCCACTTGTGGAAAACAGCTCTGAGAGCACTGGAAACCCTCAGTGCTGGGGCTCAGGGAATCTCTCCCACCGCGGGGCTTTCACAAGCTCCTTGGAGTCACAGCAGGACTCACTTTGACTGAGATATTTGTTTTTTCAAGATGTTAATCCTTGGGGGAATAGCAACAACTGAGACATGTTTGCGTTAACTGTGTCAATGTGGTGGCTGAACAGCAATTCTGGCACGAGTATGTGTGTTTGTTTGTTTTCGTGGAGCTGATGGCAAGGACCTGTGCTTGCCTTTGCCGTGTGCCAGGGCCTGCCCACTCATCTCCATCCCAACTCCAGCACACTGGGATTGGCAGGGCTCCTCCTGGCACCACCCGCTCCAAGCCTTCAGAGAGAGGTGACTCAAAAATGTGGTGACAATCCCTGCCAAAGACTGCCAGCAAGGCTGAGCTGTGTGCTATTCTAGCTCCCGAAAAATAAGGTTATATCATGGAATGCCAGAATCCCAGACTGGTTTGGGCTGGGAAAGATCTTAAATTTCATCTCATTCCACCCTCCTGCCAAGGTCAGGGACACTTGCCACTAGACCAGGTTGCTCAAAACCTGATTATATGTAGATGATGATTAAACAGTTGATTTAAATAAAATTTGAAGGGAAAAAATACACCAAGCAGGGTCAGACTGTATGACTTCTACTATCAGTCTGAAGGCCAGAGGGTACACCTGTCAGCAGATGCTCAGTCAGTGTGTGGGGGGGTTTCACATTCTTCCTGGGGACAATGAATCTTCTCTGGGAAGCCAAACTCCAAACAGGTTCTGCACCAGGCTTGGCTATTTTCTTTCTTTTAAAACCCAAACCTGCTCTGAATTTCATCTGTTTTCATCTTCAGATAACATGTAAGAGCTTGGCTTCATTTTTTATTGTTTCAGTTGTGGTGTGGTGAGGCTGGGGTGGGAAGAGGATCACGCCCCATTGCCAGGGCTGCTGGTGGGGGAGCCGGGGTGCCAGCAGCGCTGCAGGAGCCGTGGGTGGCTCTGGGTGCCTCTCTGCAGCGTGGTCCCTGGGCTGTCCCCGTGCCAGGCTGGTGCCAGCAGCAGTGCAGGAGCCGTGGGTGGCTCTGGGTGCCTCTCTGCAGCGTGGTCCCTGGGCTGTCCCCCCGGGCTGGTGCCAGCAGCAGTGCAGGAGCCGTGGGTGGCTCTGGGTACTCCCTGCAGCGTGGTCCCTGGGCTGTCCCCGTGCCAGGCTGGTGCCAGCAGCAGTGCAGGAGCCGTGGGTAGCTCTCTGTCTCTCTGTGGCACAATGCCCGTGCTGATGCTGGTGGGTCACTGAGCTGGACCCTGGGTGTGGAGGTGACCACATGAACACCGAGTCTGAGTGTGGGCAGGAAGCAGCAGCCCTGGCTGGGCTCTGGCCTCGCTGGGCAGCTGGTGGCAGTGTGAGTGCGTGCCACGCCTGCTCCTGGCAGTGCCAGCCCAGGTGGAGGCACTCTGCTCTGGCCTGCTGGTGTGACTTCCAGAGCAACTTCACACGCTTACAGAGCATCAAACGGCTCCAGGGGAATTCAATCTGGGAGTAAACAGGTGCACTGGAAACATTTTCCCGTCTTGTGCCGCAGTCGGAGGCGGCAGAGCTGCTGGGGCTGATGCACTACATGGAGGGCTTGAGGCTGATCACGGCTGTCGAGCTCGTCGCTGCCACGTCCGACGAAAACGTCACTGTGACAGACACGGAGTTCAGCGGCGTCCCCGTCCGCCTGTACCTGCCCCGGAGGGCGCCTGGCGGGCTCCGGAGGGCCATGGTCTACTTCCACGGCGGCGGGTGGTGCCTGGGAGACGCAGGTGAGCTCTGCGGCATCGCTGCCTGCGTCTGCGCCAAGGACCGCGGCTGCCCTGGCCAGCGCTGCCTCTTCTTCTGTGGGAGCTGCCGCAGGGAGGGCCAGGGGATGGGGTCTCACCAGCTGAAGGCAGGGGGAGGTTTGGGAAAGTCAGCTGGGAGGGCTGCCAAGAGGAGCAGGCAGGTGTGGGGGTGTGTGTCCGTTCTCACACGCACTGGGCTCTCCTTCCAGGCATGCACAGCTACGATTTCATGTCACGGCGGACTTCAAACGAGCTAAATGCTGTCGTGGTGTCAGTCAAGTAAGAGATATTCTCCTTCCAGATGGGATGAGGGTTTGGAGTAAATTAATCTGGTTCAATTAATCTGATTTTCCAATGTTTCTGTATTTGGTCACTTGCTTTCCTGCTGACTTGTACACATTTGTGAGCAGAGGCTGCCAGGGTGACAGCGGGGAATTGTGGTTGGCGGCTATTTTGGCTTTAGGGAGATGGGTGGGTAATAAAGTGGATGCTCTGGGACGGGCAGTTCCCACTCCTCTGGGCACAGAAATAAACACCCCCCAGCAGGGAGAGGCGAGCCAGCCCTTCTCTCCTTTAACAGCAGGCACTAACTCACTTCTCTTGGCTCCACCAGCTACAGGCTGGCCCCTCCGCACCGTTTCCCTGCCCAGTTTGAAGATGTGTACTCGGTGACCAAGTTCTTCCTCCAGAGCAAGGTCCTGTCCCAGTACGGGGTGGACCCTGCGCGGGTCTGCGTGGCCGGGGACAGCGCCGGGGGCAACCTGGCTGCGGCCGTGGCACAACAGGTGCGGCACAAAAGCCTTGTTTGCAGCTCAAAGTCAGTGTTTGTGCAGTTTCACAACCACTAAGAAAAGCTCAGCACACGCTGCTCTGGTGGTCTGTCAGGATGGCACAGCCTGTGGGATCGTCACAGGGCTCTGGGGCAAGCGGCTGTGCCTGAGCCACTCAACGGCATGGCAGGAGATTTAGTGCCACCCAGAATCTGTCCCCTAAAAAAGGCTCTCTGCCCTCTAGTTGAGGCTTACAGCACTCCAACCTTAAGCTCGTGTTGACTGGTTTAGATGTGATGTTTGAAAAGGGAATTTTAACTGCATGACTCATAAAGATGCAAATAGCAGGGAAAACAAGCAAACAAAAAAAAACCCTCACCTCATGTTGCAGTGTCTGATCATACAGTTTGGTGCCTTTTGCACTTCTCCTTCAGCTTTATTAAATAAAGTCAGCACGATGTTGTTGCTCTCTTGAGAAGCTATTTGGGCTGTAATGAAACCCTGGGAATGGTGGTGAGTTTGCTGTGGATGCTGAAGGCAGAAAACGAGGGAGAAAATGGAAAATTTATTAGTGAAGAGGGGAAAAGGTTGACATACAAGAAATGTCAATATTCAGTTCATCACATTTTATTTGTTACATCTCTAAAACACACAGAATTGCAATTGCTTGAGTTGTAACATCTCAGGGTTAAAAACCAAAGTGATGAACATGCTCTAAATTGTGTGAAATGATAAGGAGACCCAGAAACCTGAAAGCTTCGTGATGTAAGAATAGAAATTTTCAGTAGCTATAGAAAATCTTCTGTCAATACTTCAGAAAGCATCAAAATTTCAGAAAGAGTATTTCCCAAAAATCATTATCCTTCAATATAAGAAATAAAATGAAATTCTATTTGATGTTTGAGAATTTTTATTGCAGTGTGCTGTTTTAGATAACCTGCCTACAGATTCAGAATTTCTTTATCTTGGTTTTATTGATAACCTTATTTTGCTCATGTTGCAAAATGCACGTGCCAGTTCTTTACCTCAGATGACCTGTCAGTGAGGGAGAATCGACACCTTTACTGATTCTTTGCAGTGGTTTTTCTACAGCTGTCGGAGGACCCTGAAGTGAAAACAAAGCTCAAAGCTCAAGTTCTGATCTACCCAGCTCTGCAGGCGCTGGACCTGGACCTGCCGTCCTACCGAGACAACGCGCACAAGCCGCTGCTGCCCAGGTCGCTGATGGTCAGGTTCTGGAGCGAGTATTTCACCTCGGACCCCGCTCTCAGGGAGGCCATGGCCTCCAACAGCCACGTGCCGGCCGAGGCCGGCCCCCTGCTGCAGTTTGTGAACTGGAGCCGCTGGCTGCCCGCCGAGATGAGGAAGGCCCACGCGTACGCGGGCCCCGCCGCGGGCGGCGCGGAGCTGGCCCGCAGCTACCCCGGGTTCCTGGACCCGCGCGCGGCCCCGCTGCTGGCCGGCGAGGCCCGGCTGCGCGGCCTGCCCCGGGCCTACATCCTGACCTGCGAGCACGACGTGCTGCGGGACGACGGCGCCATGTACGCGGGCCGGCTGCGCGCCGCCGGCGTGCCCGTCACGCACCACCACGCCGACGACGCCTTCCACGGCGCCATGACCTTCCTCACGTGGCCGCTGGAGCTGGCCGTGGGCCACCGGCTCTTCAGCGCCTGCTTGGGCTGGCTGAGGGAGAACCTGTGAGCGGAAAATCAGCCCCTGACACGCGCCAGGTGTGACTGGAGCCGTGCTGGATTTCGGCCGTGATTGCCGTCCCCTTGCAATTCCCGCGGTGTTGGGGCTGGAGCGTTTCCCATCTTGTCTGGCAGGAAATCAGTCTGATCCTACCCCACGCGTTCCTCCAGTGCTACCGCCTGAACCTGAAACCCCCAGACTGCCAGGACTGCCCTGGGCTTCCTCTCTGGCCCTGCAGCCCCTGGGATTCGGTGTCTTGTCTCTTGCTGCTTCTTTCTTCCTGCCACATCTTCAGCCGGGGCTGTGTGCCGAAGGGCTGGGTCGCTTTGGGCACACGGGATGTGCTCGTGGCTGCTTTCCTCCTGCCCCTTTGTCTCGGTGGGATTGGCAGCAGGGCCCCTCGGCTGCCAGGGCTGATGGGCTGAAGGGAAGCACCGGGAGGCTGCGGGAGGCTCGGGGCAGCCGCAGGGACCTGCCCGTCGCAGGCTGGGCTGGGGCTGCTGTTCCTGCCCTGCCCAGCTTCAGGGGAGCATTTGGAAACCCAGTGGGATGGCTGAAAAATTGTGCAGGTGTTTTGGGCTTTGCTTGTTTGTTTGTTTTGGGGGGCTTGTTTATTTGGGGGTTTTTGTTGTTTTTTTTTTTTTGTTTGTTTTTTTTGGGTTTTTTTTTGGTTGTGTTTTTGTTTTTTTAAGCACATATCTTACTCCTACTTCTTTCTTTAACCCTTGCACTAGCAGGAAATAGTGAATCAAAACAGCACTGGATATTCACTGGAAAAAGGAGGCTGTGAAGATCCCAGCCTTACAATAACACTGCTGCATGGTCTGTGCTCTACTTATCTGTTAATTCATGTACTAGGTGTTCTAATTGTCCTTGAAATTTTTATCAGATTTCACATATGATTTCTTAAAAGTAAAATTAGCTTAGTAGCTTTATAGGCTTGGAAAAGAAACATAATTCAGCTGGCTGTGTGGAACAAATAACCTCTGCGTAAATGTTTTGTGTGTTAAATATAAACCCTAGAACTTTTGACTGAAGCATGAATACAGGGGTTGGCTGTTGGTTTAAGTAAATCAACCACTGGGCAGGTACTTCACATATCCTGCTTTTCTTTTGCATAAAAGGTACCGAATCTTCAATAATTCTGGGTAATTTTCCCTGAGCGTGTGCGGCCTGTTCAGGTGGAATGTGCACGGGATGATTGCTGTTTTCCATCCTTGTTCAGCTGAATACAAACATTAAACTCGTTTGTGATTCCAGTGCAGTGTGTGTTGTCACTCGGGTGTCCCATCCATGGGGAAGCAGTGGCAGCTGTGCTGCAGCCAGCCCCAGTTCCAGCCCTGCTCTCGCCCTGCTGTGCCTGGCTGCTGCTGGGGCTGGGCTGGGGCTGTCCAGGAGGGAAGAGCAGTGCTGGGGTAGGTCTCTCTTGCACCTTTGCACACCCTGTGGATGCACACCTGTGCTCGTGTGCTCAGTGCCAGGGTTTGGGAGTTATTCCTCGGGTCTCCCTGCAGCACTGCCAGCACAGCCCAGCGCTCACCAGACTGGGCTCCTGCCTGCTGGCAGAGGCAGCTCCACTGCAGTTTTATTCCTCCCACATTTGGAATTAATTAACAGCCTCTTAGTGTTCCTGAGGAAGCTGGGCTTTGGGGTTTTGCTCAGTAACACCTTTGGTCTGATTTTCTGTACAGTTTTTGGGTCACATCCACAAGAATGCTCCCTGGGATGGGCATTCCTGGGTTGTAAATGCTGATGGAATGAGCCCAGCTGGGGTTTCCAGGAAGATAACCTTGCTTAAGAGACTGCTCAGGGAGGATGGCTGTGGTTTTGATTTGGAGGGGACGTGCCCACATCACACCCCTCAGCAGGTTGCCCTGCTGTGAGCCAGAGTGGCTTTGGTCGTTCTCCTGCCCCGCAGCACTGGGCTGTGGCTGACACAGCAGCCCTGGGCTGAAGTGTTGCTCTCAGGTGGCTTTGTCTCCCTCCAGGGCTGCTGGAGCAAGCCTGGGCCATCCTCCCTGTCCACACTGCCACCAAGGCTGTGCTTCCTCCATCGTGGCTCAGGCATCAGCTGCGTCAGGGACCCGCCTGTCAGGAAGAAGAAAAATTTATGTTCTGAGAAACAATGCCAGACAAAAGTTGCCAACCTTCCCTTGTGTGTTTTTATAGGATGCTCTTGGAACCAGAAGTAAATGGCTTTTAAGCACCAGCGCCTAAATATGGACTCATGATTGATTGGGCTGTGTGTTTTTGTTTAGGTCCCTGAAATAGACTTTTGGGATTGGAAGTGCCTGGTGAGGCACAGAATGAGACAGTGAAAGCTGCACTATTGATGTTGCTGGCGGGAGAGGCTGGAGCTGCCGTAAGCAACCCGTTTATCCACACCAGAAAACAAGACAGAGCAGCACAAGGGAAGGCTCTGGTACGTCTCCAAAAGCCTTCCCTTGAAGGGAGGATGGGGTCTGGTGGCTGACAGTCAAGGACAAAGCTCAGCCTCGCCATGGGGGGCTCACAGCCCCGTTTGGAGCCAGCTCTGGGTGCAGAGATCAAACCCTCCAAGGATGCCCAAGCTCAGGGAGGCTGCTCACAGACTCTCCTACCACAGGGTGCAGTGGGAGCTGCTTGAAGAGAGTGGAGTTCATGCTCACAGGTGAGCCAAGGAGGAAAGGAAGCATCCTTGAAGTATCCCCACCAATCCAGGCTTCCCCTTCACTCTTTTCTTAAGAATCCTTGACTTTTTGTTGAAGTACTACACTGGCTAAAAAACCAAAAGAATCCCCAACAAACCAGCACCAAAGCCCCAAAGCCCAGCACCTGACAGTCCTCTTGGGTTTCTGGTGTTTTGGCCGTGCTGGTTGATGGCTCCTGGTGTGCTCAGCCGGGCCCTTGTTCCCCAGAAGGGCTCGGGGAGGGCCCCAGTGCTGGCTCTCGGGCTCCTTCTGGTTCCTCACAGCAGCCTGGGCTGGAGCCCCAGAGGCCAGCAGCATTGCAGCCTGCCGTGCCAGGAGCTGTGGGCATGGCCGTGGCAGCAGGCACCAAATGCTCCAGCAAGCACAGAGCCCACTGCTGGGACCCAGCTCAGGTGTTTCTTGTGGGCAGGGCTGCTGAAAGGCAATGGAATTACCAGTGCCAGCATGTGTGACTGGGACAGCCTCAGAATAACCAAAGGTAAGAAAACTGCTTAGAAGTACAACCAACTGAAGCAATGGTCACAGAGCTGTAAAGCAGGGACCAATCTAAACCTACTGAAATGGCATTAAGGAGGATTTCTTGCTCCCTCACCAGTTTTCTGAGGAGTTACTGCAGCAGGAAGGAAGAAATGCTCCATTTCTTCAGCCCTATTTTATCCTTCAGTGCAACAGCAGTTGCCTGAATGAACAAGATATTTAAAAGCTGGTAAATGAGAAGCCAGTGTCAGTTATTAGCCATGGGGGAAATTTTAAATCAGCTTCTGTAATGCCTAAATATGAGTTGATTTATTGGCCTTGTCCACAGAGAAAAGCTACAATAGCTTTTTATATATATTAATAGCGTTAATTTGCTAACTCTGAAGCACATCACAATAAAGGAGGGGGATGGAAGGTAGAGAAGCTGTGGCTGCCCCATACCTGAGGATGCTCAAGGCCAGGCTGGATGGGGCTGGAAGCAGCCTAGTCTAGTGCAGGTGTCCCTGCCCATGGCAGAGCGGGTGGAATCAGTCCCTGCGGGGCTTGGTCACTCTGCGTTAGCAGCACTATCATGTTTTTATCTTTGCCAATAATTTATGTGGCAATGCTGAGCAAAGCAGCGAGCTGTGCAGGGTGGGCGCTGCTCTGTGCAGGGTGGGTGCTGCTCTGTGCAGAGGGGATGTGCTGCTCTGTGCAGGGTGGGTGCTGCTCTGTGCAGGGTGGGCGCTGCTCTGTGCAGGGGGGGTGTGCTGCTCTGTGCAGGGGGGGTGTGCTGCTCTGTGCAGGGTGGGTGCTGCCTTGTGCAGGGTGGGTGCTGCTCTGTGCAGGGTGGGTGCTGCTCTGTGCAGAGGGGATGTGCTGCTCTGTGCAGGGTGGGTGCTGCTCTGTGCAGGGTGGGTGCTGCTCTGTGCAGAGGGGATGTGCTGCTCTGTGCAGGGTGGGCGCTGCTCTGTGCAGAGCGGACGTGCTGCTCTGTGCAGAGGGGATGTGCTGCCCTGTGCAGGGTGGGTGCTGCCCTGTGCAGGGTGGGCGCTGCTCTTCCCCCGGCTGTGCCAGGGCACGGCCCGAGCACGGGGTGCCCTCTCTCCTCCGTGCGGCCCGGCTGGTTCCCCGGGTTCCTGGGAAGGGGAAGTGCTGCCCGCACCTCGGCAGCTCAGCCAAACAGGTCCCGCCTTCGCCCGGGCTCGTTAATGATTGAATCCTGGCCAAGGCAGCGCAGAGCTGTGCCGGACCCGAGCGAGGCAGCACCCGGCCCTGGCCATGGTAAGGCCCAGCGCTGGGCACTCTGCTCTTCCACCCATCTCTGAGTGGGCTTCTGACTGCTCTACCTGCTTACCTTAGAATTCATCCATCAGCCTTTCCTAACAACTTGCTAAATTAATGCATCTGTCCATACCAAACTTTCAATTATTATGGCTACTTTAAGTGCTGATGTCTGTGATGTGCTTTCTAGATTTGGAATCTCACTAAGGAGTTGACTTTCTCCTCAAGACAGCAGCAGACAGGGCTCAGCAGATGCAGCAGGTGAGGTCTGAGCAGAGCGAGCACTCTCTGTAGCATTTCTGTCTCCTGGGGAGCACAGAGTAAGTGTAGAGACTTGATGGAAATAGCTTTATGGAGTTTTTGCTCTGCCTCATGATCTCCCTTCGAAATGAAACACAGCTGATCTCTGCTTTGAGGGCAGAGACCTGTGAACAAGTTCTTGACACTAAACACCTTTGGAAATTCTTAACCTTAGCTTGAGTTCAGTTTTGATCTATATCCCAGTTTCTGGCATTTGGTTTTCCTGGCTTTCCAGTTGTTTGCTGACACTTTATCCAAGGCTCTACCAAAAGCTGTCTGTGTCCTGTGGCAGGGGCAGGTGGCTTTGCTGAGGAGGGAGAGGAGTAAACACTTGAGATCCTGCTCTATTTCCTTCCCTGTAGCTGAAAGCATTTTTTAAACCAGCCTTTAGAAAGAAAGCAAGCTCATGTGTGGTGCAGCTTTGAAGGAAGCTTTGGCCGGGGCACAGGAGCTGTGCTCCACCCTCCGTGCAGTCCTGGTACCCAGCTCCAGCACAGCACACAAATGCTCGATGAGGGGCTGGGTTGATTTAACAAACACACCTCTGCTGGCTCCCCAGCCAGTTCTGAGCAGCGCTGCCGTGCTCATCCCTCAGCAGCCCTGTCAGCAAACCTCTGCTTGGTACGAGGGGGGACCCACGGGACCAGCGTTGGCTAACAGGGGCAGATGACTCCACGAGGCTCTGACAGGGCACCCAGGGGCTGGTTTCACTTCCCTGGCCCCTGGCCCTGCCCTGGCTTTGGCCAAGCTGGCACGCTGTGACTGACGCCGTCATTCAGGGGACGCTCCCACTTCAACTTCCTCACACGGGTCTTTGCTCAGGAGAGTTTTCATCTTCTTCTGTAACTCTGATCAGTGTCTGCAAGTACCAGTCCTGTGTGTCAGAGACATTTGAGGTCACATGTCTACTTACCCTGCAGGCTGGAAGGAAAGAGCAGGCTGCATTCACTGATAACACCAATGATATAACAATAACTGTGCAATGATCTTTTACTTGGATGTGGTGGTTTGTTTTTTTTTTTTCCTTTGATTTTCCAGGCTGTGAACGAGACCTGTGACTATTTTTCGACGAACAGAGTACTGGAAAAGTATTATCTCACCACCCTGTACAGCCTTGAGTTCATTATAGGTGCCATTGGGAACACCATTGTGGTGTTTGGCTATGTTTTCTGCCTGAAAAAATGGAAAAGCGGCAACATCTACCTGTTCAATTTATCCATATCAGATTTGCTATTTCTGTGCACTCTGCCAATACTGGTGAACAGCTACTCCAAAGATCAGTGGGCAAAGGAGAGCATCCTGTGCCACAGCAACAGGTTCCTGCTGCATGCCAACCTGTACAGCAGCATCTTCTTCCTCACCGTTATCAGCGCTGACCGCTACATGCTCATGAAGCACCCCTTCAGGGACCACATCCTACAGAAGAGGAGAACTGCTGTTATGGTGTCCGTTGCCATATGGATTGGGGTGATCCTGGAGCTGCTGCCACTGTTGTATTTCCTGGAGCCTCTAACAGCTGCCAATAACTACAAGTGTCTTGATTACGCGAGCTCTGGAGACCCCGAGAAAAACCTGGTCTACAGCATGCTCCTGACTGTCTTTGGCTTCCTCATCCCTCTCTTGACCATGTGCTGCTTCTACGTGAAGATGGTTCGTTTTCTTCGAAACAGGAGCGAGCAGATCCGCTCTGCCCTGACCCTGGAGAAGCCCCTGACGCTGGTGATCCTCACCGTGGTGATCTTCTCCCTGCTCTTTACCCCCTACCACGTCATGCGCAACGTCCGCATCGCGTCCCGAATCCCGGCCTTGAACGCCTCCGAGTGCACGCAGGGCATCATCAGCACCATTTACATCATCACCAGACCCTTCGCCTTTCTAAACAGCGCCATTAATCCCGTGTTTTATTTCCTGATGGGTGACCACTTCAGAGAGATGCTGATGGCCAAAACAAGGCAGCTCCTGGGCAGGCTGACAAGCACTGGGAAGTGAATGGGTAAGCAGACCCCTTGTAGTGGGAGAGGTCTGGGAGGAAACTCTCTCAGGGAGGGCATTCAGCAATGTGCCATTTTTTTAGATAACTTTATTTATGCAATAGAATAGGTATGAGCTGATTGTGTTCCTCTAAATGCACCTGTTACCTTATTGTACAGACGACTTGTGCTGAGCTGCCTCCAGCAAACCAGGAGGGCTGCTCTGCTCGCCCCCAGCAGGACAGCAGTGGGATACCCTACAGCCCATTAATACTGTCATCAAAAGGCCATCAAGTGAGCTGTCTGAGGGAAAACACGCTGCTCTCAGACAGCTGCTTTGTGAGCCGTAAGGTGGGCCGGGGCTGGGACAAAACGTGCCTTCGTGCGTCACCAGGACAGCCAGGCAGCTCACATGGGCACTCACACAGCCATTTATCAGGGTATGGAGCTACCTGTCTGCAACAGAACTGTCTGTAAGTGCCCGTGGAATCTATAGCCTGAAGCAGAATTTAGACCTCAGAGTTCAAACTTCATTAGCAGTTCTACTAATGAGCCAGGAGCTAATGAGGCGCCAGTCCCTGCCTGATCCCCGCAGGATCGATCAGCAGCACAAGCTACTCTCCAATGACTGACCTGACTTCAGACAGACAGGGGAAAGATCGATGCTCCCGTGGGCTCGGGCTGGCCCAGGGCAGCGGGTGTGGGCAGCCCCCTCCCCTGCAGGCCCCGAGGGTCCAGCCCCAGGGACCCCCTGGCGCAGGGAACGGGTCAGGTCTCACCCAGCTCACCTGGGCTCTGCTCTTGATGTGTCAGTCACCTGCCATGTGCTTTGCTGTGCTGGTGGCATCAGCCCCTGGAGAATAAACTGCTTAAAAAACTAGGAAAGGCCTGCTCTGTGTTGTTTTACTTTATTGGCTGATCTCATGAAGCCTCAGCATCTGCCTTGGTCCATGTCACGTGGCTCTGTCCCCTGTCACAGTGTTATCAAAGCAGGGTCTGGTCCCCAGCCCCACACAGCAGCAGCACATCTGTGCCTGCCAGGGAGTGACCCTGTGATCTTTGCAGAAACGTGGAATAAACTTACTTGCTTTGGGTTTTTTCAGCACAGAAACAGCCATGCAGAAGCTCAAGGTGCTTTGTCAATTTAGATTTCCTCCTCGAGGCTGGGTTTGCTGGAACAAGCAGCATCCAGGTGTCACTGCCTGGGTCCTTCTCCACTGTCCTGCCCAACGAGTCCAGTGCAAGCCCCGAGGCAGGGCTGGAGCCACACTGGGTGCCACTGCCCTCTCCAGAGAGGTGCCTGTACAGCATGTGGCATCCCGTGCCGTGTCGATGGCCAGGAGCTGATTTCTCTTTGTAAACAGTGTGTAGTGACAGTTTTTATGGATTAATACACTCAATTATTTGTTTTGCTGTACTCACAGAGGTAAGCAGGGTCACCTGCCCCTTGTGAGTGACTGAGTCACCGAGGGCTCCTGCCTGAGTGCCCACTGGCATGGCATTTACCCACAGTGCTCATCAGCCCCAAACTGTGCTCCTCCTGTCAATATTCGCCGCAGATCCATCATCAGGAAGGAGCAAAGGCAGAGCCAGTGCCTGTGGGACCCCAGTGCTGAGCAGAGCTCCCAGTGCTCCCCACCTGCTCCCGTGGCACCGGTGCAGGTGGCAGCAGCTGCCTGCTCCCTGACTGCACTGCTCAGGGCAGGCTCTCCTCAGCTGGGAGCCCAGACAGAGCCCAGCAGCGCAGGGGCACTCACAGACCTGCTGGGCTCTGCTCCTTCCCCCTGCTGGGACAGCCCTGCTCTGTGCCTCTCATTCAGTGGCAATCTCTAAAGTCTCCATTTCCCTAAACTGATGAGTGAAACTTCTGATCACTACACAGTTAACTGTGATGCTGCTGGTTTTGCAATTAAAAATGTGACAGAAAAGAGAATATAAACCACTACGTTCAAGCTTCACCTACGTGTTCCTCTCTGCTTGATTCTTCTGTTCCTGAGTAGCACATGGAGGAATTTGAATTAATAAAGCTGCAAAGCACTACCTGGCTCACCTGAGCTGGGCTAAGGTGGGTGCAGGCTCCCCCAGGCAGAGCCACACCTGGGCTGCAGGCATGGCATCAGCACAGCTGGGCTGGCCTTTGCTTCTGCTTCAGACTGGGGTTTTTGGTTTCATTTTGTTTTGTCTTCCCTTATTTTGGGTGTGGACTGAAAATGCCTCCAGAACAGGAACTCAGCTGTGAGTCAGCCTGAAAACAGTCCAAGTCTGTTTTAGTGGCGGTAAGTGACCTAAAAATAACTGTTCCTGGGAAGAGTGGTGAGGGCAGGGCGAGGGGCTGGGGGCTGCCCCGGCTCTCCTGGCCCCAGCCACTTTCCCAGGCAAGGACAGGGCCAGGACACCGGGCTGTGCTCAGTGTCCCTGTAGCTGTGAGCTGCAGGAGCCTGTCTTTGCAGGGAATTCACAACCAGCTCCACACCCACGGGAAAACACACGGCTCTGTTTCTTGTTCGTTCCAAACCCTACCGAGCCTCAGGTCCTCTGCAGCTTGGAATGTGTAAAATGTCCTACAATGTTTTTCCTGACATTCAGAGGGAATTTCCCGGGTTTGCCTTTGTTCCCATCACCCTTTGCCCTGTCACTGCCCAGGCAGTGCTGCTCTGGGCTCTGCTGCCTCTGCTCCTTGCCCCAGCTCCCTGCAGTGCTCTGTGCTGCTGCTCTGCATTGCTTTAATAATGATTTATGAGAACATGCCTCCAGAAGAGCAAGGCTGCCCACACAGGCTGCCACAGGGCCGTGGGTTCAGCGCAGTGCTGTGTGAGGGGGGCTGCTGCCTGCCCTGGACCCCTGGAAGGAGCAGAGGTGTCCTGACCACGGCACTGCCACACCGGCAATTCAGAGTTGAACTGCTCATGTTGACAGTGATGAAGATACTAATTCAGCTGACTTCTGCTTGGTTTCAATTTGGTTTTCACTTTCTAAAAATATGTAAGCTAAAAATAGTCTTCCTGGAGCCCAGGAGGACTGCACCCCCTGGGCAGACTGTCCTTTGGCTGGAGAGGTGAGGTCACCCCAGCAGCCCCCCGAGGTCTCTGGGCAGCACCCCAGGTGTGCAGGCACACTCGTGGAAACACCTAGAGCTTTACCTGTTTGTTCAGGCAGCTTTTGGATCAGCAGCATCAGGGTCTGCCCCACGAACACCCGGGGGCAGGGCACTGCAGGGATCTGATGCCAGAGCAAGGTGCCTGCAAGACTCACTCTCCTTTCAGTTTGCCTTGTCTCATCGAGATTTTGACCCACATAAGTCAAGTGGAACATTTAGCTGCTGCTTTGTTCATTCTTGCACTCTTGCCTCACTTCCTGACACAGCCACATAAGAGTCACAGGATGGAAGCTCTCACAAAAAACCGTTTAGATGAAGTAATTAAATTATTTGATAAATAAAGCAATCCAGCAATTTGCCTGCTGCCTTTTGAAATAAATCCTGTGCTCTCGGCTGCTCCAAGGCTTGGTCTTAGGAATTCTCTTTCCTTCCCAGAGGCCTGCTCAGTTTGGTGGGTGCTGTTCAGGGGCAGACACAGCCACTTGCTGTTGGCCTGATTCCTTCTTTCTGACGGGAAAGCTGAGCCTGGCACAGCCCAGCTCTCCCAACACCCTGGGGCAAACAGGAGCTGCTAGCCCACCCAGCCAGGTGATGCAGTGCTGGGCACGGGCTGGGCAGCATCCTCTGCCCGGGTGAGGGGCCAGGGCAGTGCTGACGAGCCAGAGGAGGCAATGGATCCCACCTGTCCCAGGAGCTCCGTCAGACGGGGTGTGGGGCCCAAGGGGTTAAACAGGAGCCCCGGCGCTGCTTCCCTGCCTGCATCCTGCAGGGATCCTGTGCTGTCTGTGTGCTGAGCTGGGGGGTGCCACAGGTGCACAAGGAAGGAGCAAGCTGAACAGGTAAGAATGAGGTGACAGTTCTCAAAAGTCTCTTTTATAGCTAAGATACAGCAGAAGAAATTCCTGCAGAATGTGGCACTTCCTGGGGGAGCCTGGTTGAGGGATGTGCTGGAGAGGGAGCTTCGTGTGCGTCGTGGTGTGGGGCTGTGGTGGGACAGTCAGATGGAAGCAGGCAGAGAAATGAAGTGACCCAGTTTGGTTTATGGGAAACGTGCAGCAACTGAGGGGAGCTGCTCTGTGCTCAGGCAGGAGGGGGTGCAGGGAGGCTCCTGCAGCTGCCGTAACTGACAGGCAATGTGCAAAAACCCAATCCTTCGAGCTGGCTACAAGTGAAACTACTCAGAAATGTCACCAGCAAATGGAAGTAGCAGGAGCAGCTGTCAGCCCAGGCAGCAGCCTGGAGCTGCCCCGGGCTCTGCAGGGACACAGGGCACTTCTGCCTTCAGCTGGGCCAAACGGCTGCGGGCTCTGAGTACCCCAAGGGGCTCCTCCATCCTTGGAATGGCAGCTTTAAAAGCAACTGGGACTCTCTCCTTTTTTCTTTAGACAGTCCCCTCGTCTCCTTTCCCCTGCTCAGCCTTTGGCGAGGCTCAAAACAAACACGACTTCACCTGCTGGACTTTGTGCTGCTCACATCCGCTTTGTCATTGAACAGCTCCAGGGGTTTTCCATTCTCCTAAAGAAATACAGCTCCTGGGATGCCTGCTTGTGCTCCCCTGGCAGGTTTACTAGCGGAAATCCTCCTCCTGCAGGAGCACAATGGCTGGGGGCTCTCCAGGGTGAGCAGCAGCCAGGGAAAACAAACATCATCCTGTAGAGCACATTTCTGCAGAGGCCCGAATTTAAAAACCTCATGCATGAGGTTCCATTGCCATGATTTTATATCTAGCAATACATTTTTGACAGGAGAGGAAGTACTTTATCACCCTAATGTTTATTTTTCTTTATGGTGTATGGGGATATTCTAGTTTCTTTGTATTTTAGCCTAATATTTTTGCAGGGAATGCTTTAGCTATCGACTGCCCTAAGAAATGCTGGCTTCTCTGAGGTTTGTGTCTATAGTTCTGTCACAGAGAAATAAGCTTTCCCTGACAGCAAATTAGTTTCAGTGCCATTTGTCTTTCAGGGTGTTTATTCTTACTTCCTTTTAATTAGTCGTTGTGCATTTCAGGGCAATCATTACAAAATGGTGGTGCTTCGTGCTGCTCACTTTGCTTCATTTGGGGAGTGTCACAGGATGCTTTAGATGGCTTGATTTCCATAAACTCCCTTTGAATCCAGGGTTTGGTTGTTTTCAGGAGGAGGGCTGTGACCCTGAGTGCCTGTCCCAGCCCCATCCCTGCCTTCCTCGGGTCCAGGGCACCTCCTTCATCCTCATCCCGTGCAAGGAGCTGGAGCTGATGAGCACGTGCTCTCTCCTCTGCTTTGATTTCTGTTATTTCCTAGAAGGATTTCAGTAGTAACCTCAAAGGATCCCAAAATGACTTTTCCTGTTCCCATCAGAGAGTAATTCAGTCTTTGTTTTCTCCTGCCTGCAACACCTTTGGGCAGAGTGTTTGGTATAACTTGGCAAGGGAAGAAATAACATCAGAATTGACCTTGTACCAAAATAAATAGGGAGGAATTAATGTTTAGTTACAATTATCCTGTTCTCATTAACAGTTCCTCTGCTTACTGTGACATACAAACTTCCAAGGGGTTTGCTGTGACTT